AAATGTCATCATACTCTCTTTTTTCTCCTATGTGGTCTTTTAGATGGAAAATTAGGGTTGCCACCAACTTCTTCAACAGCTGCCTTCGCTTCGCCCCCCAGTGGCACAGCGGTATGTCTGCGGATTTACAACGCTAGAATCCGGGTTTCGATACCTGTGGTGGCCAGAGCACAGATAGCCCATTGTGTAGCTTTGTGCTTAATTTCAAATAAACAAAGCCTTCGCTTCGTTTATAGTTATAATCTTAACATGAAAAATCACTTTGCACACGGACTAGTAAAAAATACTCGATATATTCACGGACAAATCTTTTTTTTAGTTAATAAAAAATACTTCACTAAAAATATGTCTTTTTTTAATATGTGAATGACTTATAATGTTTACTGAAAGTCTGCAAAATTTTGTGAAGATATACATACTATATTAAAAGTCCATGATGTCAGAAAAACACGTATGTTCAATAAGTCTTGATATAAAATGATGAAAACCATGTAACCCAAGCTCTTTCTAAAGGTGGACCTTTCTTCTTCAGGGGCAAAGTTAGTAGATTCAAAACTATAAAGACTTTAAACGAGTATAAAGAGGTCACGTGGTTGGTCACATTGACCGAGCCCCTATTGAGATGGTTAATTACAAGTGAAATGAACTAAACAGGGCCCCATTTGATTGAGATTTTGGGCCCCCTTCTCTCGGGGCCCGGATGCCTCGCACCCGCTGCAACCCCATAAGGACCGGCCCTGCCTAATGGTCTCTGACCTGGCCGTATAGCCTATGTGCTCATAAGAGCTGTTCAGGTTGATAATACCTATCCAAGCATATGGTTGAGTACGTTATATTTTGAAGCCTTCGTTACAGTTCATGTCACAACACCCAGTCTATCTGACGATCATGCATCTTGACAATAATCCTGCAGGGTAGTTTCCATTACAAGAGGCTCCGTCCAAAATACACCACTTGTCCCTGCAAGCTTTCCATAATCCATCTAGTGTACGAAAAAGATTGTTTCCTAGCGCCCATATCAACAATCCGATTGCACAAAAATCCATATGTCTTTGTATGAAATAGCATGACTATCTATTTCATTCTCCAGCTGCTTCAGGTATGAAAGGAAGGTATGACTGAAAGCCTTATCTTAGTGAATCCCTACCCCGATGGCTTCGTTTCCAGACGGATATCGTTCTTCATTATGTCGTATACTGTTGCGTGGGATACGTGGATGTTTTTGCCATTACCTTTGTGTCCGTGGATTCTTACTTATTACGAGACCCACATTTTGCGTGCCACAATTGGAGTACTGCTTGCTGCAATTGTCTTTCTGGAT